CTTCATCTCCTCTCTCCTCCTCCAGACTTGAGTGCTTTTTGCTTGTGCTTTGATCTGCCGTAAATTAAACATGTGTCTTAAGGTAGGATTCTCCCTCGTGGCGCGTGGCTCTCCTGTCCTCACGGTGAACTCGGTCCTGTGTACACTCGGCGTGTTATCAGCTTCAACAATGCACCTTTGAATCGTCAGTGAAGCGGCGAGGAGCAGGTGTCTGTGTCTGGCAGGTTGGCACCAGAAACGTGGTGCCAGGGCGGGTGTGTAAATGAGATTTGCGGGTGTGGAGCGGGTGTTGTGAAATATGAGGTGACAGCGGGTTCAGGGGTGGGTCAAATGCGGCTTATCTGGGCAGGAATGTTGAGAGGCTGGAGCTGGAAGTTGACCTGATTAGATGAAAAGCAGCCAGGAGTGGAGCTTTGTGATTTTGTATCATTTTGTAATTTGTTTATATGTTAAGATTCTGTAAGAGAATTTGTCAAAGAGCTCATTTGATCACAATGAATCATTTAGCAGCACAAAAATGTTAAAAAGTAGATTATTACATAGATTATTCTCGACAGCTTCATGTCTTGCCAGTGCATTTTTGAGTCTTGCTAATTGGTCTTGTAACATTTAAACAACTTTTCTGCTGTGTTCAGACTCCGTGTCATCCAGTGTTCTCGCGGTGCATTTGACATTAGAGTTGAAAAACTTTGAACTTGTGATGAATTTCATTCTGCGTCAACTAGAAGTAGACCGGGGTCAGCAACCTTAAATACTCCAAGAGTCATTTGGAGCGTCTCCCACAGAAAAGAAAACACCCAGAGTCACAAAAGCCTTTTGACCCTAAAATGAGGAGATCATTTATTTTGCCTGTGGGCTCTGTGTAAAAGACTGTAGTGTGTTGCATTTATGAAAACAATGAAACGCTACAGAGAACATGGAATTTTATTTCTGCATGTAACAAAACATTTTGAACTCTGAAAAAAGACACTTGGTTGATACTTACTTTCAAATGAAATACTCAGTGTCTATTTGAGTCCTCATAGGAAATAAAATCCAAACTTAAATTATCCATCCACAGCGAATCAAAAATGCCATCTGTTATCATGTGCACTGGTGTGTGAATCTGCCCATGTAACATTAAACATTCTGTTTTCTTCAGAAACTTTTTTTTCCCTTGAATTTATCAATCATTTACCTATCAGAGGTTGAAAAGCTCAATAAATCATGCTGCTGGTGTAGGTATCGATAAGTCCAGGCTGTCAGATCTGTGCTGGGTGTCACACATCGGTGGCTTTGATGCACATTTTGAGTGAGAAAAATATTAAAAACATTTTATTTTAATATTACAAGATTACCATTATCTACAAATGTAGAATTACATTTAAAAACAAGCAAACTAAAATAAATATACATTTTAATTAAAATGCTCATTATTTATTTTCCAAAATCACAGGGAGCCTCAACAAAAGGATGAAAGTGCGGTGAAAGATGCAACGTTGCCAACCCCGACATATCGAGCCGATATTTACACATCACCTGTTCTGTAAAAATGTGTCTACACTGGACAGTACAGTTTGTAGTAAAACAGTTTGTAAAACAAGCAAGGTTTTGGATGAGTTTCTACTAAATTTGAATTTGATAATTTGGGAAAAAATAACCTCAATCAGCTCTCTATATCAGCCCAAAAATATCAGCAGAGGTCGTCAGTCATTGGATGTTCTGGATTTTCAACAATAAGCATCAACCATGAAAAAATGTATATTTGTCGATCTGTAGCGCCAACAGCTTTGAAGCCTGTGCCCTCATATGTGCCCAGCTAGAGGCATTCAGCACCATTTTTACTCTTGGTCTGAACGTGGCATTACACACACACATATAATGGTGCTTATTACATTTCTTCAACTGAACTGAAACAAAGTGTCTATTGAAAAGTCTGTTAGATGAAACTAAAGGTTCATCACTGGTGGATGAAGTACTCAATCTTGTTACTTAAGTCAAAGTACAGATACCGGAGCAAAAAAAATACTCAAGAAAAAATAAGTAGATTTTCTTTCATAGGATATTTTTAAGTATTAAGTAGATTTTTTAAGTATTAAACAGCTGTAGTAGAAAGTACAGATACATGCTTTCAAATGTAGTGAAGTAAAAGTAAAAATGATCTACTTAAAAATGTACTCCAGTAAACTATAGATACCTGATTATTATTTTTTTTTACTTATGCTCAGAACTTTACCACTTTTACTTTGTTACGTTCCACCGCTGAGGTTCATTAGGATATCTTATTACAACAACACTTGAATATTAAAGGTTTTTTTTTCAAATTAAAATCTGAAAACAAGCCCAGTGTGTGTTGTTGTTTGGCGCGCAGCATTTGGTTGTGACAGCCGTATCCTCACAGAGCCTTCAGAACCTCACATGGCTCCTGCTGCAGTCTGTCCCAGCCTCTATTCATGTGTCTGCTCTTTGAAATGCTAATGGGGCGCTCACCTCCTCTGCTTTGTGCCTGTGTCTCCTCCAGATCCTTCCTCCAACTACATCAGACAGCTGGAGACCAAAGTCCGCATCCTGGAAGATGATAACAACAAGCTTCTGTCTCAGGTGAGGCTCTGCTGCACAATACACAACACGTAGAGATACACAGGGTTAAAGGTGCACTGTGTAACTTTTAGGTTAGGGGTTCATCACCTGCTTGTTTCTATGGAGATGTCATTGCTCTGTCTGAAATGTTCCACAGTGTGACATTAAACAGCTCTACTTTACATTTATTCAATTACAGGTGGTTTTACAGCTCAAAACTACCTCGAAAAACAGACATTCTGACAGTGAGCGGGATCGCCTCGCCACAGATCTGACCTGTAACTTGATCTGGTCTGGTTTCCATGAAGATAGAAAGGTTTAATGCCATTGTTGAGGAAAACACCCTTTTCCTCGCTTGTTCGTTAGTTTCTGCTAAGACAAAAATACCCTTGAAACCAAGATACACTTCAGATAAGAATTTACTCAATCGAGCAGTAACAGGCAATACTTGTACAAGGAGTCTGTGCATCTGACAATCTCAGGCCGAGACTAAATATTTACGCCTATACAATGATTTTTATACTCAAACTATAGTGGGAGGTGACCATAGTTTAGACTTAGTGCCTCTTTGTTGGTGCTCAGGTCAGCCAGGCCTCTTGGCACGTTGCACAATCTGTGCACTCGCCGGCGCCACCGTCCTCCACAACCTCATATCCTGCTTCCACTTCTGTGTCCGCGCATGTGCAGTCTGACAGATTCTGGCAAATCGGCTCATGGAACTACTTCAACAGAGCGATATCCTCACAAGAGGCGACTTGATTTTAAACAAGTTTCATTTTCTTGCGACCTATGAATGCCGACCTGGAGCTGGTCGTGAGGTATAAATCGGTTTTCTTTACCCCATGTTACTACACGAAGCACGACACACAATGAAGCCAAAACTCAGGCCGATCCCCAAAATAGTCGCACGAGTGAAAAATGGGCCCAAAAAGGGTCAAAAATCACACAGTGTACGGCTGGTTTTACGGGAGTGTCTTGCTGGTGTGATTAGGGTGATGAGTCGTGAGTCAGCATATCCCTATCAATAAATCCTTGCCCTATTTAGTTCATTGATTAGAAATATAGATAGAAATAGTTTTAGTTCATGTACAAGATATTCTATCTCTGCATCCCTCAGCTGTAATCTCGTCCCTAATCAAATATAGCAGTACAATCAATAACTGTTTAACAGCACATTAGCTACATCATAGCAGTAGTTATACACCACCTAAATCTAGTTATTTATCGTAACACCATACTGTGAAACATTTCAGGCATCTCCAAGAAGAAAAGCGTTTGATGGACCCTCCACCAGAAAAGTTCCACAGTGCACTTTTACGAGTAAAGTAATGTATTATGTCAGAAGTAGTTTCAGATCATAGATTGTTTATAGCCTGCTAGCCACCACATTCCAAACAGGAAGTGAGCATGGGGGTACTTCCTGCTCCATCCACTCTGGCTCCAGTTGACTTTACATTGAACAACTGTCATGTCTCTTTCTGTAAATGCTGCTGTGAGTCTCGTCATTTTGGTCTTAAAATGTTTGTATTAACTCGCTCTATGGAAGAGAATTTGTTACATTAGATTTTGAATTTTAAATCCTGTTGAATTTCATTTTGAATTTTTTTTTAAGTTTGAAAATTTTTTAATTCTAAATGGCAATTGATGAAATTTGAAATGTACACTTAAATTTTAAGTGTTTAAATTTCAGTAGAAAAAAATTAATAAAAATCAGATATTTTTTTTTAAATTTGCTGTGAAAATATTGGCAGCAAAGGTCCAAGATGCCAAGGCAGAAGCAATCGATGCACACTGATTCAATCTAATTTTGTAACAATGAGGAAATGGTGCAGTGAACAGTCTGATTGGTCAGAACAGCCAATAGGCGAGTTTCAGCTGACGTCATTGTTATTAAAAGCCCGCGTTGCATGCTGGGAAATATTTTGGTCGGAGGCAAGAAACACGGTAGCGGTCGAACACAGTGCGTAACCTCGCGTATTTATCCCAGATAATGGTAAATTCCTGCTGCATTATCGGATGAACAAATAGAAGCACGGAAGAAGGAAAATGTCTTTTTCATATTCTGAGTGAAAAGAACCACTAACGGTGAATTAAACGGCTTTCAAACATTCGCAGAGCAAACGTAGAAGATCCTAACAAACCGTGGACTCTAACAAGTTCAACAACACATCGAGACTCTTGGAGGTTTTCATCTTTTCTGCTGTGAATGGTCCAGGAGTTTCCACCAAGTCATTGTGGATATCGCCGAAGTGAATATTTGTCCAGGTAGTTGGTGATTCTGACCAGAAATTTGGTTTGGTCCAGGCTTTGTCAGGGTTGAAAAGGGTGATTTTTCGTCCATCGATGCTTATGACCAATTTCTGGTCAAATGGTCTTGGGTGATCTGCCGTTAGAGTGGATAAATAACCAGGATCAATACCCTTTACGTGCTTTCTCGCTCCGTCCGTCATGTTGAATTAGTGTTTCTTGCCGCCGACCAAAATAATTCCCAGCATGCAACGCGGGCTTTTGTCAACAATGAAACTCGTCTATAGGAAACGGCCTCTCTCCTCCTCACTCACACATGATCGATACTTCTGTCTTGGCATCTTGGACCTTTGCTGTGAATATTTTTACTGCGAATTTTACACTTTGAATTTTGAGTGTTGAATTTGAGCACTTGAAAATATATGTGCTGAATATTTAAAAGGTGAATTTCTTTTATTTTGATTTTGAAATTCAAAGTGAGAAATTCAAGAATATTTAAAATTCAATATCTAATGGAACAAATTATCTTCCATACCGCCCTACATTTTAGCTAAACAAATGCAATTTATGCTCCTCTGGTTTAGACCTGGTTTAGACCTGCTTTAAAACTGATATAGTCCTGGTTTAGTCCTGGATTAGTCCTGGTTTAGACCTGGTTTAGACCTGCTTTAGAACTGATATAGTTTAGTCCTGGCTTAGTCCTGATTTAGTCCTGGCTTAGTCCTGGTTTAGTCCTAGTTTAGATCTAGTTTAGCCCTGGTTTAGACGTGGTTTAGCCCTGGTTTAGTCCTGGTTTAGTCCTGACATAGTGATACAGTCCTGGTTTAGATCAAAATAGTCCAAAATAGGGACATCTGGGACATGTCTTGCATAAAATTGGGACAAATCGTTGTTTTTTGATAAATCTGCTGGGACAGGGGACATGGGACTCCGAACTGGGACTGTCCCGGGTAAATAGGTACATCTGACCACCCTGATTTTGTGTGATACAGGACCTTTAAAATGCAAGTGTGAGGGAGGCCAATTCTGATCAACTCTTTGAACTTGTGTTGTGTTTGAGCGCAGATGAAAGCCTGTGTCTCCCTGTTGTTAGCGAGTGTGTGTTTGTCTATGTATAATTCATCAGGACAACAGAGCAGAGATGGTAGGGCCCCGGGCAAACTGTAAGAGTGAAAATCCCGAGTAGGTGACAGTGACAGAGTGGAGCGACACAGCCAGAGATGATCTCTGGATGACTTCACACATTTAAAGGGGAATTTTATTTTGGCTCAGCACAATTTTATACAGTGGCCAATGTTACTTAGCATAGATCTCATGTTAAACGTATGAAGACAAAAGCTCCAGTGCTGATAGTGGTCAGTTTGTTTTGTTTTTGTAGAGGTATTTTATTTCAGTATTATTTTATCTTGCAATACAATATGTAGAGTTATGCGCTTTAAACTGTGTTGGAACATTGTTAGCTCCTTAAAAACAGACCTGGACAAAGATACCCTTTGTTTCATTCACATGTTTGAGTATTTATTATTAGTAGGGCTGGGCAAAATTTAAAAAAAATAAAATTACATTAATTGCATGAGTTTGAGTGCGATTAATCGCGAGTAAATGAAAGAGCCAAACATTTGTTGTGCAAACAGTAATTGTTTCACAGGGGAACCCTCAGAGCCTTCAAGGTTTTCAGTGAAGGCTCAAGAAAAAATACTGAATGGACTTTTGTACTACTAATATATTTTTTCAATAGTTTTTATGCAGTGAGTAATAAACACGACACTAGTAATAATTTCTTGATCAGTGTTATAAACTTGGACTGATATTTCTTGGGAAACAAAGGGTTAATATAATGGAATGGAAATGGACCAATTACATTTTTTCTTTCAGTGGTATCTGGGTAAATCAGTGACTCCCCCTGCAGCACTGAACTAAAGAAATAAGCTCAGCTCAAAACGCACGGCTGGTCCAAACCCGCGGAACCCGGATCCGGAGCCTGCGGCCTGCGGCTCGCAGAGGCTCGGACACGTTGCATCTCACGTGGTCAGAAAAAAGTGAAAAAAGTAAAGAAAAGACATCAAACTTTAAAAAAACGCTCACGGTGGACTGGTGAGAAACAGACATTTACAATAAAATAAATAAATAAATAATAAAAAACTGCATTAACAGTGTTAAAATGACTTAAATGACTTAATTAGTTAACGCACATTAAGTTAACATGCCCGACCCTAAAGTCTGTCTACATGTCCAAAGCTCAAATTGCTCTGTTCCACCTTGTGATGTCATGAAGTGGTAGTTTTCAAGTTAACAGCTACTACTACTACTACTACTACTACTACTACTACTACTACTACTACTACTACTACTACTACTACTACTACTACTACTACTACTACTACTAATAATAATAATAATATAATAATAATAATAATAATAATAATAATAATAATAATATTGCATCAGTTTTATACAGCGCTTTTCTGGACACTCAGAGAGGTTTTACAGATCATTCTTCATTCATTACAGACTCAGTGGTGGTAAACTACTATTGTAGCCACAGCTGCCCCGGGGCGGACTGACAGAAGCGATTGCCAGTCTGTACCATCAGCCCCTCTGGCCACCATCAGTCACACACCACTTTCATACTAGGCAATGTGTGTCTTGCCTGAGGACACAACAACAGTTTTTGTGACTGGCGCCCCCTGTGGCACCTGATTTTCCCAGTGTCTCCCATCCAAGTCCAAGTCCTGACCAGACCCCGCCCTGCTGAGCTTCAGGCTCTGAGATCAGGCTTTTAGAAGCCAGTATGAACATATAATGTTTGTTCAGTAGATACAGACAATTCCAGGAGTGATATTTAAAATGATTCAAATTCTAGTGAAGTCTGTTGTATGGAGTTTAAAAACACAGTGGAGCACTTCCTGTATTCCCACATGACATCACAAAGTGGAACAGAGAGTTTTCTGTTTGTGAGAAGAACTCAGCTTACATATTCAGGGTTTGTGTGTTAAACATGTGAATGAAACAAAACACAAGTCCAGATCTGTTTGAGATGAACAAACTACATTAGAACATAGATGAGCAAACAGAGGAATATGGGCCTTTAAATGTATCACTTTATTCATTTCATTTCAGATCTTCTACTCTTTGCATTTATATTAAATGTGACTCCTTGTGTCTTTTCTCCCAGTGGTTCACATGTGGGTGGAGTGTAGGTGGAAGTCCTGACAGACACTCTCCTATAATTAGCTTCTACAGTTGGCTCCATTACAGCCTGTTATTACTCCATACGTTTACGACTGCAGCTTTCAATATAATCTAATGTGTTGTCATTTTGTCATTTTTCTGTCTCCGTTTAGGCCTATAGCCGCTATAGCTTATCACAGATGCCCAGCAGAAAGGTAACTGGTTTTGTTGGCTCCTCCTCTGAGCCGCTGTCGGTGACGGGACTTTTACGTTCTAATATTTCTCAAGCTGCTTTTAACTCAAGAGTGGGTGCAAACGGGTGACACGTGTAATGCAATGACAAGATGAAATTCTATTGTATTTTAATTGTAATGGTGCACTGTGTGACTTTTCTGGTGGAGGTGCACTACCTTCATTTTTAAGCAGCTTTTCTAAACAAATGACAATATATGCCTCTCTTTACTGTGGGCATTTCTTCTATAAAACTGGGACTAATAATGATGATAATAATAATAATAATAATAATAATAAATCTGTTTTATATTGCGCTTTTTTGGACATTCAAAGATGCTTTACAGATCATTTTACAAATCACTGGTTTTGGATAAATCTGCTTGTCTCAATGGAGATATTATTGCTTTGCCTGGAATGTTCCACAGTATAAATTTATACATATTCATTTATATCTTTTATCAATGATGGGTGTTTCTATTGCTCAAAAATACAATAATTCTTTATATGAACAGGGGCGAGACTCCACAGATCTGAACTGTAATGTAGCGTAGTGCTGTTATCTTGTGATAGAGAGGTTTACCATATTTTCCGCACCATAGGGCGCACTCATAAGCCTCCAACCCCATCAAAAAAATGACTGTGCGCCCCACAATCCAGAGCGCCCTATACACGAATCCACTCAGGTGTCCCAGCACGACTTCAGTAAACTATAAAGCCGCACCACCCACAGAACACACAAACACACACGGAGCAGACAGCGACCACACAGCAAAAAACACCCACAGACACACTCATCACTCCACGTCGACGAGGAACGAAACAGAGGAACGGACTGAAAAAGCGAGTGCAATGTGCCACTTCTAGACACAACTGAACAACTGAGTCACTGCGAACACGCCGACAATCCAGCGGTCCCAGACAGCACCCTCCCTACACACCACAACTGAACAAAGCCCAGAGTCACCGTGAACGCAACAAACAAACAAAACCACTCACCCATCACACTGTTGGGTTTCATTTAAAGTCCGGTGAGGTTTATTTGTGAAAAAAGTTTGAAAATAGACCATTTAATGACAGTGTGCCTTATAATCCAGAACGGCCTGTAGTGTGAAAAATACGGTAATCTATACTGTGGAACATTCTAGACAAAGCAGAAACATTTCTCTGGAGACAAGCAGGTAGGCGTGTGCACTACCTTGAGTCTGACGATACGATTCATATCATGACACACACGTCACTATTCAGTATCACAGTATATCCCGATACTAAAACAATGGATGATAGATAGTGATTTATCAATAATTCCTTTGGATAATCCAGTCTCCACCTTCAAGAGAACACAATTGTTTGAAATATAATTTGGTACATTTTGAAATTGAGAACAGTGAATGCAACTAATGAATTATTGTGAAAAGTATTTTAGAAATCTATTCGAATCTATTTTGAATCGATTCACAAATTGTGCAATGAAGTATCACAATATATCACAGAATACTTTTTTTTTTTTCTCCTTATACCCCCACAAGCAGGGGACCGACCCTCCACCATAAAAGTTCCGCAGTACACTTTTAAGTGAAGCTACTGTTTTGAAAAACTAGATTTAAACAATCTTAAGTAGGACGTTTATTGAACTCTTTCAACTCAACTCTTTGTCTTAGCTTTTGGACTATATACAAGACCTTGCAAAATTAAAAATAAACAAATAATCCCATTAGATGATCTAAAATTGGCCCCTTTTTAATTATAGTTTCAACACAAACCAGCAGCATTGAAGTTTATGGTAATTTTCATGGTCATTTGAATCAGATTTATCTCTTGTAAAATGCTGTAAAACATGTTCATTATTTTCTTTTTCTCGTAGCAGCTGAAAGTCGGCGATTTAATTGACTGTAGATGAATTAGAAAAACTGTATACAGACAATTTCCTCTTTTCACAATAAATGCACAGTACTTTAATATTGTACAGCTGCTCAATTATTGAAAAAAAAAAAATTATTACAGTTATTTTGGTCAATATATTGAAATCACGATTATTCCAACCATTATTTTTCCTTTTACACGATGCATTTATTCAGCATTTCCCTCTCTCAAAAAAACAAAACAAACAAAACAAAAAAAACAAAAAACAAAAAAACACTTTGTTATTGAAAAATTACGCAAACCTTTAATATAGGCTACAAATATGAACTTTTTGATCAGTTTTGCGATGTATAAAACATAAAATGAATAAAATATACTTTGAACATGAAATAAGGCAGAAAAACATAAATGTATCAACATTTATTTATTTATTTATTTATTGCACATGCTATTATTTTGTTGGCATCAATTTAAAGAGAACAACAACAACAACAACAAATGTGACAATTAACATAAATAAATATTTCTACCATTATTTGCCTCATCTTTGTTGCATGAACAAAAGGAACAGGATGACGATAAATTTTATAAACTAAAATAAACTCTTAAAATAAACTGCATCCACCTGTTCTACAATCTCTATCTAAAAAAAAAATATATATATATATATATATATATATATATATATATATATATATATATATATATATATATATAAAAATAAAAAATCCCAAAATAAACTTTGTTAAGCTTTACTAAAAATAATTTTAACTTGATTATATGAGTTTGGTGATCGTTTGATACACAAATCGAAAAAGCAATCAAAATTCAATTAATTGTACAGCCTTATAATCTTGTATAAACTATGTAGTAATTGATAATTGGCAAAAATCTAGTTAAACCTAGTCTAATGTCTTAAATAAACCAAGTCATTGCATTCCCGTGTCCTGCTGTTGCTCCTCTCTGTTGGCATGCATCGCAAATGAATGAAAGCAGGTGGCTGTTTTCCTGAATATGGCTCAACTTGGCAACCCAGCTTCTTTTTCCTGATCTTTGGGACTGTCTCTGCTCCCACTCGAGTCCGCTGTGACGATGTGTGCCCCGGGTGATCCCAGGTGATCCCGGGTGATCCCAGGTGATCCCAGGTGAGCGGTCTTGTCCGGTCAGGCTGCTCTCGGGGCTGAATCACTGACGAGGCGCATGTCACTCTGGTCCATCTCCATACATTATACATGAGCTCCAGTCAGTGTCGTCAGCTGGGAGGGAGATCCAGCTCCCAGCGGTCAGCAAATCAAAACACTAAAAGTGAAAAACTAGGCCTGTCATGATAACTCAGTTTGAAGCACAATATTAGACCTTGACTTAGACAAACTTTATTGATCCACGAGGGAAATGATTTGGACACAGGAGCTCACATATCACAATATCATAGAATAACAAAGAGCAAACATATAAATGGTAATAATCAATTGTAAATAAGTAGCAAAAAAGAGGAAGAGACACGTGTCAGATAAAACCTAATTATATAAATGTAAGTAAGTAAGTAAGTCCCCATTTCTATAGCGCTTTTCACAGACATTTTCACAAAGACGCATTACAGAGCATTACATTCAGCATATATTATTCATTCACTCTATACCTGGTGATGGGAAGCTATTCTTGTAGCCACAGTTGCCCTGGGGCAGACTGACAGAAGCGCAGCTGCCATGCCACTTGGCGCCAACGGTCCCATCGACCACCACCATCACTCACACACACACCACTTTCATACCAGGCAATGTGGGTGAAGTGTCGAGCCACTAGCACCAGTGCTAATTTCCACCTGTCGCCTCTGGGCAGGTGCAGGTTCAGGTTCATTGATTGATTGTATTTAACTGACCTTAACTATCAACTGTTCTTGGAGACCTGTGTAGAATGTAAATGTACAAGTCCAAATAAAATAGAAAAAAATGTAAACAGGAGGGGACAGGAAGTTGTAGGGAGTATTATCTGTTCCATAATGGTGAGTTGTTGTACAGTTGTAGGGAGTATTATCTGTGACATAAGGGTGAGTTGTTGTACAGTTGTAGGGAGTATTATCTGTTCAACAAGGGTGAGCTGCTGTACAGTTGTAGGGAGTATTATCTGTTAAATAAGGGTGAGCTGTTGTACAGTTGTAGGGAGTATTATCTGTGACATAAGGGTGAGTTGTTGGACAGTTGTAGGGAGTATTATCTGTTCAACAAGGGTGAGCTGCTGTACAGTTGTAGGGAGTATTATCTGTTAAATAAGGGTGAGCTGTTGTACAGTTGTAGGGAGTATTATCTGTGACATAAGGGTGAGTTGTTGGACAGTTGTAGGGAGTATTATCTGTTCCATAAATGTGACATGTTGTACAGTTGTAGGGAGTATTATCTGTTCCATAAGTGTGAGTTGTTGGACAGTTGTAGGGAGTATTATCTGTTCCATAAGTGTGAGTTGTTGGACAGTTGTAGGGAGTATTATCTGTTCCATAAGTGTGAGTTGTTGGACAGTTGTAGGGAGTATTATCTGTTCCATAAGTGTGAGTTGTTGGACAGTTGTAGGGAGTATTATCTGTCCCTCTATAGTCTCCCTCATGTGACAAATGTCTCCAATATATCAATCTATCACTACAGACAAATATTGAGATAAACGACAACATTGAAACTACTTTATTCCACTGATAAAGATTCTAATAAAACAAGTATAACCCCAGTACATCCTTTTTAAATAGAGAGCATCATTAAAAAACATGAGCTGCAACAAATAAAACAACAACTACAACTACAGGAAGTGCTCCACTGTGTTTTTAAACTCCACACACCTTCACTTGAATCATTTGAAGAGTTTCAGTCCTGGATTTGCCGATCTCCACTGAATTAAAACATTAAACATCAGCTACTACTACATGACATCACAAGGTGGAATAGAGCATTTCAAGCTTTGGAGATGTAAACAAATGAATAATAAAGGATTATTCAAACGTGTGAATTAAACACAACTCTAAACACATGATATATATCATATCATGTGTTTAGAGTTGTGTGTTTAGAGGTGAGTTGTGTGTTTAGATAGAGGTGAGTTTCAGCTGACGTCATTGTTATTAAAAGCCCGCGTTGCA